ATCCTCGTCCTCGTCCTCGTCCTCGTCCTCTCCCTGTTCCTCATCCTCGTCCTCGTCCTCTCCCTGTTCCTCGTCCTCGTCCTCGTCCTCTCCCTGTTCCTCGTCCTCGTCCTCGTCCTCGTCCTCGTTCTCGTCCTCGTCCTCGTCTATCCTCGCTCCCCTACCAACCCCGCCCCCCGTCACTATTAGCATCTTACGCTTTCTTTGAGCGCATTTCCAAGGTTGTTCATCGCACCAGGATAAGTGACCTGAACAAGCGTCATCGACCTCTGATGTTCCTTGCAGAGTTGCACCTGAATCGATAGACACTCTGTGTACTCTTGAATCGCTGATCGGAGGAGAGAATAGTTTTTCTGCACTGAGGTATGAGCGATTCGAAGACATGTACTCTTACTCTTTCAGAGCAAGCACCGTTGTCTTCCGCAACTGACCTGGATTGCAATATCCATGTACGAGTTCCCCAAGTTGTAATGCAAATTAGCTGATCCTGGCAGAAGTTGGAGTGCCCTACGTTGCATGATTTGAGTACCACCATTACCACAGCCATCATCATCATCATCATCATCATCATCATCATCGTCGTCGTCGTCGTCGTCGTCGTCATCATCATCATCATCATCATAGTCGTCGTCATTGTCATCGTAATCATCGTCATGATCATGATCATGATCATGATCATCACCATCATCATCGTGCTCGTCATCATCATCATCTCCATCATCATCGTCGTGGTCGTCGTCTACGTCATCTCCCACCTCTGGTACAACTGCGCGGATCTTTCGAATTCTCCCGTCCTGTGCAACACCGTCCCGAAGTTACTTAGGGTGAGATGGTCTGCCGGCCTGCAGCAACGTATGAGATAAGTTTCTCACCCTCAAGGAGAAGAGAGAAGGGAAGTGAGGGGAAGGGAAGGGACGAGAAGGGAAGTGAAGCGAGGAACGAGAGAAACAATGCAATCTAGCAATCCAGCAAGAATTGACCATCTAGCAAGAAGAGATCTCCTCTACACAACACACACATACACACACACTCTCTCTCTCCACATCTGTTGCAATCATTCGAGTTCAGCAGCATATCACGGCGTCTTACCGCATGACGATCGCCTCCTCGAAGAGAGCGAAAGATTCCTTAATGCGATGCTGCACCGTCCACTGTCAAACTCAACCTCCGCCCCCTTTCAGCTTACTCTCGCACTCCCCCCTCCCCCCCTCCCCCTTCCTCCTAGCGCTCCTCCTCCCCACCTCCTCCCTGCTAGCGCTCCTCCTCCCCACCACCTCCCTCCAAACGCTCCTCCTCCTTCCTCCCCAGCTCCCCCCCCCCCGCTTTTCCACTCCTTCCAGCGCTCATTCTCCCTCAACCACGACAGGTTTCCTTCACCCACCTGATCGGCCAAGATGACAGCAAGATTCATCCTCATCTGAGCATTGGTCGGGTCCATAGCTATCGACTTCCTGTAGCTCTGCTCTGCCCCCCCGTGCTCTCCCTTCTTGTTCTGTAAGGCTGCAAGCTGCCCGATGGAGTTTGCCGCAACTTCATGATCATTGCTCTGCGCAAGGACTTGGTACTCTTGAATGGCCTGCAGTCAAGCTAACGCATGGATCGTGAAAGATGGTACATGAGTGATGATGATGACAATGATAATGATGATGATAATAATGATGATGATGATAATGATGATGGAGATGATGATGATGATGATGATGATGGAGATGATGATGAAGATGGTGATGATGATGTAAAGCTGACCTCTTCATCAAACCCAGCCGACATGAGCATGTCTGGTAAACAATAGCGTCATTTTTATGCAGCATTTGCAGGACACGAAGAGGATGTAGGTCAATAATGGAAGAGGGTGAGGAAGAGAACGACGATGAAGGAAATCATGACGATGACGATGATGGGAGCATATTGTGGTATGCATGATAGTGATGTTGTAGTGATATTCACGCAGGTAGGAGAAGGAAATACAGCAGAGGTAATAGAAGGAGATCTTGCCTGCAAGTCCCTTCCTGTAGGAGGCGACAAGAGGATATGCTTTCACCACTCTCCTGTACTCGGATATTCCTTCCTGCTTCCACATCACGCCCATCCAACAAGCATTGTAATTGTCATCATCGTCATTACATCCTTACTTTCACCACGTACTCACTATCATGACATCGCTCATCATCACATACTTGTCGTTCTCAAACACTTGATCATCATTGCAGTCATCATCATAATCATCATCATCATCATCATCATCATTATCATTATCATCATCATCATCATCATCATCAACAACAACAACAACAACAACACCTCAGATCTTCCCAGCGAGTGCAGTGAGTTTGCTCTTGAGCAGATGACCTCCGGGACGTCTGGTCCGAGCCTGTGGGCTTGCTCCAGTACCTGCGCATGTTCCTGACTACCCGCCTCTCTCAGAGCTTGCCATCAAGACCTCCAAGGACTTGTCGAGCTCCTGCAGGTCAGCGTACAGCACTCCGAGATTGCACAGCACGGCCACACTGTTGGGATCAATCTTCATCGCTGTCTCCAGCACCCCTCGAGCCCCCCGCTTGTCCCCCGAGTCTCTCATCGCGTTCGCCATGTTGTTGTACGTGTCCACATGCTGCGGCGACAGCCTGCTTGCCTGCATGTAGCTGGCGATCGACCTCTCGTACTCCCTCTTGGAGTAGTAAGCGTTTCCAAGGTTGTAGGATGCTTTAGCCTCGTCTGGTTCCAACCTCCGCGCTGCTTCGTAGCTCTTGATCGCCTCGTCCAGCTTCCCCATCTGCCTTTGGATCGCTCCAAGGTTGAGCAGGGCAGACGCAGAGGCAGGAAGCATCTCCTTCACTCGTTTCAGCTTCTTCTCAGCCTCCTGCAGCCTTCCCGCCTCCACGTGGATAAATGCAAGCGCGTTCACAGCTGACACCGAGTTGGGCACGAGCTTCACAGCCTTGCTGTAGCAATCTTCTGCTTCTCTGCCCCTTCCACTGTCCTGCAGGAGCTGCGCAAGCCCCATCCAAGCCTCAAAGAACTTGGGCGAGGAGCGGATTGCCTCCCGGAAGCGGGCCTCTGCTGCGTGCAGATCTCCTCCCCTCGATGATTCAATGCCTTTGTTGTAGGCGACCGCTGCTTCATTGCTGTAGGACTGCTTCGAAGACTCGTATGCTGCAATCGTAGCCAAGAGCAGGAGAAAGAATCCCGACCCTATCGGGATCCGGAACCTTCCCATTCGGAATGCCTAGCGGATTTCCTCGGCAAGCAGCGAAGGAGGGCGATAGTATGATCCACACATGGGAATGTTAAGTGTACATAGATGCAAGCAATTGTCCGGGGGTATTGCAAGCAGATCTCCTCTCTGTACTCCTTGCGAACAGAATTTACGGACTGAAAACCTCGGGCGTCGTCAATCCTGGCTTCCTCCAAAGCTAAGATGGCAGGAGATAGTTGTTCTACTAGAGCTTGTCTTTCCTGCTGCCTAGTCTCTTCTTCTTTCTCCGCTCTGCACTACTGCTATCACTTGACGTCCCCATCGTCCTCCTCCCCTCCTTACTTGCTTCCAACCATTTTCGCTTGTCCGGTGAATTTAGTTACCAAACGTTGCGAGATCGAGTTTCTCCCTTCCCCATGCTCAGGGACGTTCGAGTCACCGCCCTTGGACCTGACGCTCGATGCGGATCAGCCTGTAGCCCCCGTGTGTCTCGTCCTTGACATCGTGAGGCAAGAAGATTGATGTCAAGACCTTCAAACATGAGAGATAGAAGTTGAACTTGATGGACTGAGGGAAGCGTTTTGAGTCCGAACATGCGATTCGAGTGCAATGGTGTTCATGGTGAGGACGCCGATGGTGAACAGTTTTCATGAGGTAAACTTGCAGCATGGCAGTCGTCCAATCAATCATTGGCTTCTCCTCGACGCAAGGAGGTAAACTTGCAGCATGGCAGTCGTCCAATCAATCATTGGCTTCTCCTCGACGCAAGGTTAACAAAATTGAGCTACACAAAACGGATACTGCCTTGACCGGGGAGCACAACCAGGAAAGCTTCCTATTCACCCTGAATTCGGACAAGATCGACTCTGACACCATCTCGACAGTTGTGAGAAAACCGAGTTGAGCTGAGGAGTGTGGACATCGTTGCTTTGAAGTTTAGCAGCAGTTGTTCAGTACATGTAATGGTTTGTAATGTGCATCTTAACTCTGTTTCTGTGTTCATTGTAACTGGAACATGAGTTAAGTGAAGGGACCATGCAACACCCAGAGCGTAATGCTTCCTTCTTGATCCTGCTCCTAACTGATCTGCTCATGTACGAAGCAGATTTGAGTAAAGAGGCTTAGCAAATCCATGGGTATGCAACGCGTCTTATGCAACATTAGAGAATATCAAAGTGCTTTCGTGTACATCACATCAATTGCTTTGTTGTCATTTGATCTCAGACCAGTGAATCTATCTTCACATGGTATCTTCAAATGAGGTGAAAACTGATTGAAGATGTGGCTTCAATGCTGGGATGTCCTGCAGATGAAGCTGGATTGGCGACAGTCTCGAGCTTGACATGTATCGAGCAATGCTTGACTGGTGCAAGCCTCTATCTGTTTGAAAGTTGTGATGTCCATGATGGACATCTTGGTGCTTCACCGACATTGCTTGCATCAACGAGAGGTCCAACAGCCAAGACAAGCCTAAAACAGCATATAGAAGGACAGGGGAAGGCGGAGGAAGGGAGATCTTCAAAGCTGAGGTCAGATCATACGTCTTGATCAATCACGTCGCACCTCCAAGCCTTCAAGCCACAGATACTTTCGATGACTCGCAACAATTGTGACGGACTAACAAGGTGTGGAACTCCCTGACGACAAGGTTGATGACGTGGACGATGGTACTGATGTTGTTCCATAAGACAACACAGACCGAGGAAGTTTAGGAATTTTCGTATGGTGTTTGAATCCGATTGTGTAAGCGTAAGAAGTAAATATTGAACGTAGCTGAAGACATCTTCTGGAGTCAGATTCGATTTATTTTAGGCTCTCCGGGAGTATCCATTCTCCGAAGTAACTCATACAACACGATTGAGGGCACAACACATTTGATATGGACTTTATCATTATCTGTTCCCTCTGGTAGCATCTCCTAGATTCAAATGTCTCTAAGTTTGCATTCATGATCGGATCGGATTGAGATAGTCGATAGCTTGGTTGAGATTCTTCTGAGGGACAAGATTGGTACTGAAATATGAGTGCAATCTTGAAGATACACGCCCGGTTTCTCACGCTGTGTGCACGGCATCATTCCAGAACGAGCAAGTCCTCGTCGCTGAGTTCTTCCTCCGACACAGGTGCACCACCTTTGGAATCGAGGCCAGCCGAACCGCTGAATGGGCTGGTGTGCATTCCCACTTCCACAAGCATTAGAATTCTCCTACGTGTACCCGTCTCAGCCCTGCCTTCGTCGTCAGTGCGTTTCATTCTTTTCTTGTTTGGTTCCACAACTGGAGGAACCCTTGCAGACCAGCCTTTACCTTTCCGCAGATGCAACAATAGCCATTCGGTGGTGGAACTTCTGGTTACGAAGTCCAGTTGATGCGCACTTGGTGAAATCTCCGACACCATACACACATTGACATCTAGATTGTGCGACAACAGCTTGAAGATTACGCTGTTTAACTGACTCGGTTGAAGGGGATCGGACAAGTTCTTGAACTGTGCTCCACCTTTCCACCTCTGCTTGTTTGGAACAGCCGGTCCCGCGAAAGTCCCGTCCCTGCCTTCGCTATCTTTGTTCCGTGTGTAGAAGCCCAAAGCCGCGGAATCGCAATGCTCCTGATCGCTCTCTTTTACAGGGACTAGGTTGCATACGCAAGAGGTAAGCATTTCCACGAAGCTTTCTCTGTTTGCTACAGAGGCAAGAATAGCGTCTACACTTCTGTCATCTGCCAAACCGCAATGAAAAGCGATGTTCTTCAGCAGGTCCTGAGGAGAAGACCAGCTGCTGATCATCATGACTACCGCCCCGAACGACTCCAGTAGACTCCCATCTCGCCTCCAAGCATCCACGCTCAGAGGGTCATATGAGGACATTGATTCCAGGTGAATCTTCTGCAAGACCTTAAGAGCTGAGACATAAGCGAAAGGCCTCCCCCCTCCAGCACCAACAGCTGTCGTGATAGGATCAAGCATTGCAGGAGGAAACCTCGAGGTCAGCTGCGCAAGAGCGGTACCTCGAATCATAGGAATCCCTTCCTCATTCAAGTCAACCATTACGGTCGATGCATGGCTATTCCGGGCTGGCGGATCATTTCCCCACACGTTCAGAGAAGCAAAACCCTTGGAGATGTGCAACTGGGAGACAGCTTCGTGTGCAGCAATCTGAAACATGCAATATCTCGACTCACAGCTCCAACTCAGTTTGCGCGAATGCTTTACATGATTGAACACCGAAGCTGAGAGACTTCGGAGGACAACGTGCGCCTCAGCATTCTTGATACTGTCATTTGCTGATCTGTACTGAGACAAGAAAAGGGTGCAGAGCATTGGATTTCCACAGTCCAGTATCTTAGGTACTGATGTCCTTCCGAAAATCCTCACCAGGATCTCTTCGTCTCCGTCTGACGGCAAGATGCATTCCGGAAGAGAGCGATGTGTCAAGCAGAGCATCATTTGACCAGTCTGGCGACTATGTTCAGATATATTCGAGACCTGCACGATATTCATGACCAAAGTGCTCGTCCCTAACATGATACAGTTGATTTGCGAGTTCGCTAACAATCTCTTGAAGAATACCAGCCTAGCAATTACTGAGAAGAAGCTAGTATCGTCGTGACGAGGAGGAAGCACCTCGTCCACAAGCACCCACCGCCTTTTCCATTCAGCTGCCTCTGCTATAGAGACTGGAGAAATATTGGGCAACTCATGCCATATCCAGCCGAGGACTCCCAGCACATACCACTTTGGATCTTCCCTAGCCAACTGTTTAGCGAAGTTGAAATTCAAAGCGGTCAAAGGATCTGATTCCTTTGATCCGGCAAATCGCGTTGTCAAGTTGCAAAGATCACAGTCGAGTGCCTTGTTGATCAGTCGCGTGATATGTTGCAAAGGCCTGTAGATGGGTTGCACCTTGAATTGGGAGTCTCCGTCATGCCCCACAAGGCTGAACAGAAAATAGATGCTGTCGTCCACGTTCCGAACAAAGTGATCAGCAGCGCAAAGCGACTTCCCACTCCCAGAACAAGCTTCTATAAGGCAGACGTAAGACTCCTCAGTATTCTCCTTGCCTTTCACCAGCATGCTAATGGGGTTCAAATCGCTAAATCGCTTGCTTGGTTTCACACGTGGTGATGTCGGCGTCCATTGAGCGTCCAGGCATTTTTCAAGGCATTCCTGCAAGGGCTTGGAAATCTGATTCACATCGCCAACTTGATTGGCAAACTCGCTCAATACTGCCAGCAATGGAGTTAGGGTTTAGCATTCCGGGCAAGTGTACAGACTCACTCGAAAAGAAATTGCTTGTATCTCCATCATTTTGCTGCGAGAGGAGTGCAAGCCTTGCAGTCTCGAGCTCTTTGGAAAGACGATCAAGATCTCCCTGTCCTCCATTGGCAACTGTTTGAAGCTCTGCTTCCTTCAGCCGCACTAGTGCCAAGGCAATCTTCTTCTGGTTTCCTTCATCTTGGGCATGGGCATGCTCTGCTTCCCTCAGCCGCACTAGTGCCAAGGCAATCTTCTTTTGGTTTCCTTCATCTTGGGCATGGGCATGCTGTGCTCTCCTCTGCTCTACTGCGAGGGCATGCTCTGCATCCTTCAGCCGCACTAGTGCCTCGGCAATCTTCTCCTTGTCTCCTCCTTGTTTGGCCAGGGCATGCTCTGCATCCCTCAGCTTTACTAGTGCCTCGGCAACCTTCTGCTTGTCTCCTCCTCGTTTGGCCAGGGCATGCTCTGCATGCTTCAGCTTGACAAGCAGTCTGGTAAGAGTGGGAGATTCACTCTCAGCTCCTTCAAGCACAGCCAGATCATGCTCTGCCTGTCTCAGACGGACTAAAGCTTGTGCTTTTTCAACCCCGTCGTCCTTGAGGAGCCACTCGTTCATTGCTTGAGTTACTCTCGCAACAGCCTGGGTCGTGTCCATTGGCGCCGATCGAACAGAGATTTCTCCTGGTAGGATCGGCTGTTGACTTTTGAGAGAAGGTCTTCAAGTCCGCCTCAGTTAGATTCTTTAATAAACGGGTACTTGATCTCTACAAAAGGTAGGTGGGGGTATAACAAGAAAGGCAGCAAGATGAACTTACAGCCATATATAGAATGTGCTCGTGGGTACGATGAGCATTCACCAAAGGTTTGAAATGAGGGGTAGGGGTGGTCCAAATTGTACCTTTGCACCGGAATAGATCTTGTTTCTATTTTTCGAAAATAGAGGTTTTCAGTTTCCGCGTTGTGGTACCCTACCTCCTCAAGGATATAGAAATACCCCTGATACTTGAGTTGCAATTCAATGAAAACCCCTCTTTTGGCAGCCAGAAGTACAGTGAGATTGTACAGGACCCCGGAAGAGATCCCTGAGATTGTATACCGAAGCCTGCCATGGTACCAATCATGGTACAGAAATAAAATTAGTCTAATTAAAACCAAATTATCGTTTACAACAGGGGTGGTTGAACCCATACACCCATCCCTTTGTGCAAACCTTTGTAGATCAGACGTGGGTAGGGTGTTTCTTCATGGCCCAAGAGGGCAGGGCTTTCAGGGGGTGGGGGTGTGGCAGATGACATTTGGTTTAAAACAATTGTTTTTTGATATTTTCGATTATTGAGGACCCCATTGGCTACCACGGGTTGCAATACTCCAACAAGTACGGGTGGAGGTCCCGAATCTGGGGTACGTCAAGAAAAAGACCAGGTACTTTTAGTTTCGAGGCGAGGATGAAGATGGGGTAGGGACCCTGGCGGGGGGAGTAGGGGTACCCAAAGAATCGCGGTCCTACATCTGATCGGAGGCCGACGTGATCCAGAAGGGGTGGGTGGGGTGATAGTATAAGGGAAATATAAGGGGGTGGATGCTCATCAACAACTCTTCTGTAACTCTGATCGTGTTGACCCATTTGATCATATACAAATGCTTTTATTTTTGTCATAATAAATACAAATAAATCTAAATTTACCACATATCCATACGGATACTCAAAGTTATGTGTTTTTAGACCAACATGTGCTACCAAGAAATCTTGCAAATTGTGATATTAAATTTTATGGTTTTAAAGAGGTCAACACACCCTCCCCGTATTCCAGAGCAATCTCGCACTCTTGGCTGTACCACCGTACTTTGTACAATTGTGCAGTCCGATGTAGTAATTTTTGTACTCATTTTTATTACCACAAAGATAATTCTACATACAAATGTAACTACCATAAATTACCTAAAATAAGGTCAAAACTTATGGTACACATCATCTCCGCATCTGTACCAAAGAGATATTAGTTGTTATTAATTGTAGTGAAAACACTATTGAAATCAATTTCATCAATACAGATTTATTGTACCGTAATTGCAAACGTACGAAATATTTCGAAGGTACGAAAAGTTGCCACGTCCAACCTACCCCACCAGGGGGTCCTCACCCCTACCCCCTCAATCTGCACTCACTCCTGTTCGCTCTGCATTCTCATACCCCGCCGTGGCGGCGTCTCCAATCCTCTCCCGCGCGCTTGTTGGGCACACTGGCAGCTACCACTGCCAGTCTTGACGTCCTCAGCGGATATCTCTCTTGTCTTACACTCGTTCTGTGGAAGGCAGCGCAAGTCTGGTTTGTTGGCTCTGTGAGGACAGGGTTTGAGTTGCTTCGGTTCTTTCGAGAACCTACAGGATTATTGTTCTGTCTGTGAGCTTCGTTCACACAGTCTGAGTGATTTCTTCGAACTCTCTTACCCTTCCGACTCTTTCAGACGGTGTGAAAGCATTGGATGATTGAATCGAGGAGGACCAGTTTTGAGCTGTTTTGCAACTGACTGTAATAATCACCGGTCTATCTGTTCGAGTTGTTCCCAAAGAAGGCCATACAGATCTCCTGCAGTCTCTCCTCGGCAGGTTGGCTAAGGTTGCCAATAGAGGCAACTTTTTGACTGACAACAAGTGCAAGGGGGTTGCGGCAGGGGCCGCACCCCCTCCTCGAATCTTGTGGCATTCGTTCCAAGTGAACTATATGTGCAACTGAAATGAATCCTATGTCATATTAGGAATACGGCAAATCGTGCGAGTGCGCGAAACGCCGACTTCTTATAACATGTACTTTTGATCTCACACAAAACGTGGGGTTTCTTCACCCCTCTCAAGGCAGGATATAGTTTACAGCTGCTGTGCTCTGCCGTTCTTGGTATCAAGAAGAAGAAATAGAATTTTATTCGGATTTCCAAGTTGTATCTTATTGGAACAATTTTCATTTCAGTCAGCACCTTTCTGTGCAGAACAATTTCAGAACTGAATCGTGTATATAGTCAATTTGCAATTTCGGGAATTCACATCCTGAGATTCTACAAACAAGAAAAACAAAACAAAAAATTCGAGAGAAATTACCAAAGAAACTCTATCATATAAAATTTACCTTGATTTTCAATCATGAACTTCGAAACAGGAGTTGACATTCCCAATACTTCCATGTCCCAGTGTGCTGGAAGACTCAAGCGATCAGTTTCGTCATCGACTCTGTTCAAGGAAGATGTCTTGGGTGTCAGCATTTTCAAGTCGCCACCCCGCAAACGTTCAGAGCTTGAGCGTCTTGTACAGGAAAGTGTCCATATTCAAGTGAAGGTCAAGGATTTGCTCCTTGATAAAATGTTGCGAGTCGAATGCCGGCCTGATTCCATTTTCCTTGAATTGAAGGAAAGAATCCAATCTTACCAGGGTCATAATCGGCTACGGATCATTCCGTCACATATCCAGCAGATTTCTTTCAACGGGGAGGAGTGCGCGGACGATATGAAGGTATTTAGCCAGGTTTGTAAACAACCTGGTACTGAGAAAGTTGAAACAGGTTAGGGATTTCGTACGTGCTCAGCCCAATGTTTGTCTTGCTCTTGAACCTAGAGTCACTGAATTGGTAAGAAGCATTATTTGATTGATATTCCCATAAATTCGTTGGTTGCAGGTCAGTTTCTTCCTAGCATCTGTCACAGACATGAGTCTTGCAGCTCAGAACCTCCCGGAAGCCGTTCAGTTAGGTGCTCAGGAGGAGGAGCAGCCGTTCTTTGGAGAAGAAATGGAAGGCATTGATGGAAGCACGACGTCAACTGCTTCTTCTCAAGTCAATACAGTGACGAGCCCATGTGTCACAAGTCCATCGAGTAGTCCTCGACACAACTCTCTTGTATCGGATTCTTCGGCCTTGATCACAAGTGTAAGTCCTATCACCATTCCCGGCTGCATCAAAGCCACAAACAATGATCTTGACAATGGCAAGTGGAACAACTGCCAACTCAGCGAGCTAAATACCGAGTGCTCGTGGGATTCAATATTGTCGGCTAAGACGACCCCTACCTCGGATGCCTCGTACTTCGATATCTACGAATGCAGCACCGAATGTGAGGGTAGTGGCATGATTGGAATGCTCTATAACGACATCAAAAAGACTCCGTCCAATCCATCGGCTGAAGGCATGTTGGACACGTATCTTCTGCACGGAATACAAGCAGGCGGGGGAGTTTACTCTTCCCAGTTGCACATAATATTCCGGGATCGTGGAGCAAAAGAAATGTGCATCCCTCTCCTTCAGAGGCAGAAGCTCGGTGCATTAGAGCAGCTGGTTTTGGAAGTACAAGGTGGTCTGCGATATGGTCATGCACCAGAAGTCCTGGAAAACAAGTCTTTCGATTCTGAATGGACCTGTAATTCTCAGGATTGTGATTGGGATCGCCGGCCGCAGTTGCCCAGGCTCTCTGATTTCGATTATGGAGATTTGGTGGACAACTGCTGTGGTGGTACGTACATCATGCGAAATGCTGCTGGAGCCAAGACCGCGATCTTCAAGCCCACTGATGAGGAACCTTATGCTCCATTCAATCCGAAAGGATTTACTGGCATGATGGACGTGTACTCTGAAATGAAAAGTGGAATCAAAGTTGGTGGAGGAGCTGCTCGGGAATGTGCTGCATATCTGTTGGACCATGAAAGTCGTGCCAAGGTTCCTTGCACTACTATGCTTCGAATCTCTCATACTACTCTGCTGCCCAAGTCTGAAGCTGAGGTTCAGATCAAAGTCGGTTCGTTGCAGAGGTTCCATGAGCATGACTGCACAGCGGAAGATATTGGCACCTCGCTGTTGGATGTCGAACAGGTTCATTACATTGGCATATTGGATGTCCGCTTGTTCAACATGGATCGGAACTCGGACAACCTTCTGGTCAATCGTCATCATTCTGGCAAAGTCTCTCTGATTCCTATTGACCACGGTTACGTGCTTCCATCCTTCAAACACCTTGAGGTGGCAAATTTATTTTGCTTGCTGAGTGCCAAAGTTCTGATGTTGAGCGCAGGATGTGAACACTTGTTGGTTGCACTGGCCTCAAGCTAAGAAACCTTTCAGTGCCGACACCTTGTCGTTCATTGAGAATCTGAATGCCGATGAAGAGATGGAAATGTTGAAGACCACTTTGGGTCTGCCGGAAGAATGCTTGATCACCCTGTTTATCGGGACCACTTTGATTCAGAAAGCCGCCTTGTCAGGACTCACCTTGCACGAGATTGGCACTTTGATGGTGAGCATTGATCCTCCCATTGCCTTTACAGACTTCTGATCCTTCAGTACAGATGCGCCCTGGTTATGACATGCCATCTGAAGTTGAGCTTGCTGTTAGGAGAGTCCTTGCCGTGTGGACCGAATCTGATGGAGTGAGTGTTTTGAAATCACTATTAGCTTCCGAGATTAGTGAGATGATTGTGTCTAAGAACCCTTCTCCTTAAGTGTGGCTGAGAATGGATAATTTGCATCCTGATGATCGTCGTTTGTAGTAAATCTTGGTAAATTCGAAACTATGAAGTCTCAGCCTTGACTGATGTCTCGATCTCTCATCGATGATCATACTCGGCTGAGCCTCCGAGACTTCAATTTTCAAATTGCACTTCTAGGTGCCGCGCATGATGAGATTCAACGCTCAGGCTGGCCTCCGACAAGTGGAACCGTTCGACTCAGGCCGACTCCCGTTGCCCGCCCGCACTCAGTGTACGGTCCGACAATCAACTAAAGTTTACTCGAAGTTGAGTCAGTCTAAGTCACCCGACGGGCCGGCCGGGCCGGAGCGTCGGAGTCCAAAGTGACTTTCTCTTTACTCTAAGCCTTTTTTAGTTACTCAAACCCACCCACCTCTGGACTTCAGCCATTTTCCACTCAACGGTAGGGGTCCTCTTCAGAAACTCTTCAACGGCAGTTTCTCTGGTACCCCACCACCCCTTCGCCCTTCCCTCCCTCCTCCCCTCCTTCTCTCCCCCCACTCCAGCTCCTGCCGGACCCCTCGCAGCTTCCTTGATCCCTTGCTGGTCTCTTGGACTGCTCCTCCACCTGCCTTCGTCTCCTGTGCCTCCCTTGTACCCAGAGCAGACCTCGAGTACTCTTGCTCATTGTGCTAAGATGGAGAACAACGAGAACAGTCCCTCTACTATCCTGACGCCCAAGTTAAGGAGCAGGAGGCCTCTGTCGGTGATCAACAGCAACCTCGTACGATCTCCAGTCGTCGACAAGCCTTCCAAGACACCTTCGAAGGTCGTCCTTACCTCAGAAGAGAAACAGGTCTCGAGCTACGATCAACAGCCAGAACAGGAACGACATGAGCAGGTGCAAGAACAAGCCCCGCTCCCCCGCAGCTCTTCCTCTTCGCCTTACAAGGTCGCTTCACTCCTCCTCCCGGCATTTGTTGCTCTCTTGCTCCAGGCCGCCGTCCATAACGGCGGACAAGAGACGGCAAGCCGCGACTCCTTCCGCGTCAAGATCGCCTCGTGGCGCAAAGAGGCAGCGCTTGAGTGGAGGGCATCGACCCAGTCTCGCAGCCTCGACGCCTCTGAGGAAGCAGGTTGGGGCCCCTGCGCCTTCAAGAGCCTCCACGAGTGGAGGGCAAACGCAGCAGAAGAGTGGCGGCAGTCGGCTGAGGCGCGAGAACTTCACAGGAAGGAAGAGGGGACTCGCTTCCCAGTCCCGGGCGACGTGGCCGAGTGGAGGAGGAGGACGTCGAGCGAGTGGAGAGGCTTCGTAGATGCAGCAGCAGACAGGACAAGAGGGGCAGACTTGAGCGTTGCATTCCTACAGCTCAAGAACGCTGACCCGCTCCGAGTGTCGTGGAGCCCTGTCAAGAGGTACGATGTCCCGAGCTGGGCGTGAAGGGAGGGAGCAAGGTAGAGGAGTAGAGAGGAGGAGAAGGAGGGTAAAGAACGCGGATGAGTCTGGCGACAACGGTTCATGACGCATCAACAAGACAGCGTACAGTCGAAGTAGATGGTTGACACTAACAATAAAGTCATCACTGAAGATTCAGCCGTTGGTCGTCGAAAGTGTTGCACAAGATCTCTTGCATGGTCAGCCCGACGCTGCGTGATGTCATCATGCAAGGGCAACGAGGGGGGCCCACTCGGCTTACCAGGGCTGAGAAGTCTCCTTCAACTCCACGCGCAGCACCAACATCACGCCAGCATGCGGGTCGACCTATGAAAGCTCGGTGAATGCAACGTGACAGGTTACTGTAACTGCTGCTCCCCCCTCTTGATTTTTGGCCAGCAGATCTTCTTCAATTCTCCCACCTCGATTTTCTATCTTTTCTCACAAGCTCTCTTCTCCTCCCCTCCTTTCCTCCACAGACGCATCACAAGTCGTACCTCGATCTCAAAGTCCTTGGCAAACATCCCCAAGTCTCGCTTCCTCCAGACATCTCGGACGAGAACCACGGAGTCTTTGCTCCGCCGCCTCCAGCTCTCCATCCCCTTCCCCTTCGCCACTTGGCTCCACTTGACCCCCATCGTCCTGTCCGGCACGTCCAGTCAAGGAGGGAGACAGGCGGCTCGTCTTTCCCTCACCTTCGCTTCCCCGAACGGTTCAACAGCAGCAGTGCTGCTCGTCGATAGTGCAATTTTTCACCATCTGCACGCTCCCTATGCGTTGAGAAGGTCAGCAAATACCTCAGCCTCCCTTCCCTTCCTCCTCTCTCAAACATTCGCACCCTGTCCCCTTCCTTCCCAGGAAGCAACTCTCCTGCCTCTCCCTCCACCTTCTCTTCATCCCCTGCCTCTCCCTCGAGACGACTCACGATAATGGACGGACCCAGACATCCAAGTTTGACTGCACGCGGCAGGTGTAAGTGAAGAAGTGCAAGAGAGTTTGTCTCTGACCTTAACATCTCGAGAAATCCGGAATCCAGGGATCCCATCACGATCTTGACTAATCGCCAGAACCTGGACGAGATGGGGAGGAGAGGAGGAAAAGGAGGGACAAGGAGGGCGTGACGAGAGGGACAGAGGGAGAGGAGAGGAAAGAGACGATTCAGCCATTCTCCGCTTCTCCTTCCTCCATGATGTACCTCTGGGTTGGTGTAGATTTCCAGCGCCTCCTTGGAAATCGTCCTCACGTCGACTCCGATGAAGATGGGAGCTGCAAGGATGGACCAGAGTGACATCTAATGCATGAAACCGTCAGAGCGGCAAGAATTTCAGACGAGAAACAGATGCGGGAACGGGGTCGAATCAGAGGGAGGCTCTCACAGGAACCCGAGAGGAAGAAGAGATATTGAGGAACGAGGAACGAGGAACGAGGAACGAGGAACGAGGAACGAGGAACGAGGAACGAGGAACGAGGAACGAGGAACGAGGAACGAGGAACGAGGAACGAGGAACGAGGAACGAGGAACGAGGAGGGGAAAATGGAGGGCGGGGGGGGGGGGGGGAGCAAGACCTGCGCTCGATACTCTGACAGAGTTTGTCCTTTGGAGCCAATCTGAACCAACGATCAGATGGAGAAGAAGAACTTGTCAACGAGGAAGAGGAAGGAAGGCTCACCTGCAAGAAGTCGAAGGAGCTCCACCTCGCCCCATAGCTTCCTCCTGCACCGCACATGAGCCTTCTGCAGTTACCCCCACGTGTGCCTGTACGCTCACCAAGTCCCGCAAGCCTGTTGACGTCGTTCTTCATCACTGCATCCACGGCTTTGTTCCACCCGTCGAAGTTATCCTGACAAACGTGAGAGTGAGTGGATCAGAAGGTTGTCCACTGCTGCGGTGCAGGGACGTCGGAGAGCGGGAGATGAGACTCACTGGAACGTCGTTGCTAACACGCCAGACATTGCAGTACTCGTGCTGAAATGGGGAAAGGAAGTGAGCTCGTCCTGAGCACATCAGCAGCGAGAGCTTGCCTGTCCGTTCCTCCATGGTGCATCCATGTAGTTCGAGCATTCGTAGATTACGCTGTCCTTCCGTTTACTGTCCACATACATGTCAGATCGCAAGAGGAGCCTTCCGAGTCAAATCCACTCGCCTTCGTCTTGTCAGGGCCCTGTCGATGGCCCTTCTGACATCAGCGTACGCCGTCCTGCGCATGGAGGTGGTTGTGTTGCAGATGCAGTTCTTCAAGTACCCCACACCCCACTCGCCCACCCACAAGTCGATGTCTTCCTGCAAGTGCCCATAGCTCCCCAGCTGCCCGCTCCCCGCCTCTCCCGCGCAAGAGAAGTGTCCGGGCGTTGTATACAAGCCCAGCGTGAGGTTGAGTGCTCGAAGAAAGTCTGCGACGTCCTTCATTCCATGAGGGAACTTGGCCTGATCCGCTTGCAGTCCCTTCCCTGCTTCACGAGTTGTGGACTGCCAAGAGTCGTCGACATGGAGTATGGTGTATCCTGCATCTCGCAGTCCTGTCGCGACCATGGCTCCAGCAATCTCCTTGATCGTTTTCTCGTTTGTTTGCGGCCAACCGTCTTCCTTTCCGAGGCCATACCACGACGACCATCCCAAGGGAGGCCTGTCTGCAGTCCTCGTCTCATCTGAGCTGCAAAAGATGACGAAAGTGAGAGCAAAGAGCACTGTAAGCCATGCGCGCATCCTTCGGCGTTGGAAGGAGTGCGGGTGCTAAGCGTTCGGGTTTACCAGAAGGCATGGAGAAGGCGCTATGCAGGATCACAGTCAGCAAAACGAAAGAGAGCACTAGAAATATTCGGTAGATGTAGCTAATAGTGTTTGACATGAATACACCGAAAGGGAAAGAAAAGAAACGGGAAGAGGCTGAGGGAGATGACGAAAAAAGGAGAAGCGGAAGATTGGTGAAAATGAGGAAACGAGCATCAGGGGAGAAGGAAAGGAGAAGGACAGGAGAAGGACAGGAGAAGGACAGGAGAAAGACAGGAGAAGTACAGGAGAAGGACAGGAGAAGGACAGGAGAAGGACAGGAGAAGGACAGGAGAAGGAAAGGAGGACGAGGTGGACGACGACGACGAGGAGGAGGAGGAGGAGGTACAATGCTTCTCTCACCTTCCATGCCTTTCTGGCGCCCTTACCAAGCATGGCGGCACCTTTTAGACTCAGAATAGGGGGTAGGGTGGCGTGGAGAGTCTACTGCAGAAGGGGTACTTGTTCCATGGAGTCAACATTGACCGGTACTTCTCGGCAAAGAAAGTCTACATTCCTGATGGTACAGATTGAGGTTTCTCATCATAGTGGCGGGGGTAGGGTAGGGTGATGACCAAGTAGGTGGTGTCATCCAAAAACAAATAGAAGATAAAAGATGAGAGTTCCCTTTGAGTATTATCGCCCGGCCCCCGGCGGGCCCAGCCCGGGCCGGGCCCGGGCCACACACGTGACTCAGTGACGACTGAGGCTCCGCTCGCCGGGCCGGGCCCGGGCCCACCGGAGGCTTCGGAGTCCGACTGGCCGATTACTATGACTCAGACTCAAGACCCAGTGATGAGTGGGGGCTGCCGCGCCGGGTCACAGAAAAGACCGACGGTGGCATTACTAGTCACTGTCAACTTAGTCACGTAGTAAGTTACTTGCCAATCAGTACAAGGACGATGAGGAGAGGCGAGGAGGCAAAAGACAGGATCGTTGATCGTCAAGTTCCGGCTGACAACGGGCCCCGGTGATCGGACTGGCAGCGGTGGCCCGGGCAGGCGGGCCCGGCGCCGGGGTCGCGGGCCCGGCCAAGGCCCTAAACCAAAATCCTCGAACTTCCTGCCGGCGGCAAGGGGGTTGCATCTCAGTACAATATCAAAGAGGGGGGGTACTGAAGTACCCTCTCAGTTTCTTCACCCTGCCTTTTCCCTTGTTAGATTGACTTGGGTTACGGTGGGTGTATGACCCCTACCCTGCAGTCACTAACCTGGACACCCCAACGGTAACTAGTACTGCAGCAATCTGAGCCCTACCATACAAACTACTACAGGTAGGACGCTGGGGGGTGCTCTGAACTCAAAATACCCCTGATTTTACGCAAGATTTGTGGGGTAATGATGAGCTTCTGCACCATATGGAGGGGAGGGGTGAGTACCCTCACCCCCACCCAGTAGCTTCAAGGTCCTTTTGACCACCCTACCTACTATTTACCTGCACCACCCCTGTTTCCGTAATCTCCGAACACTACCCCATCATTTGTTAAACCCGATTGCAATCCCATCACCCTATCCAAATACGATACCACCCCTTAAAGTTTGGACCCACCCTGTATCAATCACGAAAAGTCAATACAAATAACCGGTACACAATCGTGCTATGACGTCATGGACCCCCCAGTCACAAACCCCTACCCCCAATATGCAAGGCCAATCTTGTACCACCCTACTACCTTTTGATCACTTGCCCCATGGCGAAACATTACCCGAATGCCGGCAAGCATACGAGATATGAAAGAGCAGCGACAAGATGTAGAAGCGGAGGAGGAGGAGGGGGAGGAAGAGCAGGAGTACATGAAGAGCAGTTGAAGGGAGATGTGATGATGGCTGTGATGGTGTGGGACAGGGCGTCGCAAGGAAGGCGCAATCGGGGCAGCTGAATTGTGGTGCTCGGGAGTGAAAGTGGAGCAAGGGATACCGGGAAGGATCAAGTGAGCGAGTGCGCTGGACTTCATTTGTGGGAGCTAGGACGTATCAGAGCATCGGATGGTGTGTGAGGGAGGCGGAGGAAAAGTTTGAAGTTCATGAGTGTGTGTAAATCGTGTGATGGAGGTCAAAACACCTCTAGATAGCTGAGGCAGGAAGTTGCTGATGCCCACGAGGCAGAGGAACGAGACAATGACATGTTCGCATGTCTCGTCTGATAGATTCACCATGATTCGCAGGATCTGACATCTGTGCCGATCAAGAGCCATGGAAACCTAGCCCAGCAGGGTACAGCGCAGAGGAGAACCTGTTCAGTCCGCCTGCGCTGGATTCCTTGCATTCCTCCGAGGCGTCATCAGGAAGGGATCAGGCACCGTCGTTAAGACTTGAAGATGCAGTCGTTCACGGAATCCATGGGAGCGTTTGGGAAGGAGACGAGTATCCTCAATCGATTTCTCTTCCCAGTATGTCTTTGCTCTTTTTCAGTCGATATGCCCCGATAAGGTTCAACAGGCGCCGGCTGCGAGCTACAGCTGGGCATCTTTCGAGGGAGAGCTCATGTAAGCTGCATGCTTGTCCATGATGAACCCTGGGGGGATGACTGCGATCATGGCAGGTGCATAGTGGGGAGGGAAGGGAACATCGTTCCCTGCGCGGTGATGCCAGGCATGTCCTCCAAGATTGTGGTGAGGAGCAGGAGCAGCGGGTGAGGGAGGATGATAGTCCTGAGCTGAGAGTGCTCCCAGGATGACCCGATGCAGCCTTTCATGTTCGATGATCCAGCCTCCAACATAGTGATCTACTGCCATGCCAACGGGGAGGATGTCGGGGTGCTCTACGAGGCTGGTCACTGGCTCTGCGACACGCTGGGAGTTCATGTCCTCATCCCGGAGTACCCAGGTATGTGCCGGAGATGAGAGCATGCGGTTGGAGGAGTGAAATTCTTCTCTTCCTCCCTCCCTCCCTCCCTTCCTCGTCCCTCCTTCCTTCCCTTCCTTGTCCCTGCTCCTCGTCCCTCCCTCCCTCCTGTATCAAATTCCATTCATCCTCTTATCTCCCGTTCCTCCTCCTCCTCCGCATCTCGCCCTTTCCGCCTTCCACCGCAGGCTATGGAGTCGCGCCGGACAGTCCGAACGAGCTCTCTGTGAACCGAAACATCTTGGCCGCCTATGAGTTCGCCGTGAAAGGTTTGGGGACCAGCATGCAGTGGGACGGGGCGGTGACGTGGCATAGGCCTGCACTGGGATCCCAAGAGGGTGATCTTCTTCGGTCGATCGATAGGAACCGGGCCCGCGGTCAAGTTGGTGAGATCCATTTCATCCTGTCCTCTCCTGTCCTCCTGTCTTCTCCTGCCGCCTCTCCTCTCCTCCAAGGGCCGCCCATCAACCCGCCTCCCTCCTCCCTTTTATCCCTTGTGGTTGTGACGTTGACTGTGTTGCGCTGACAGGCATCAGAGCTCGAGTGTGGAGGGTTGATACTTGTTAGCCCGTACACTTCGATCAAAGATCTTGTTTCACAGGTCTGCGCTCCTCCCTCCTCCCCCCTCCCTCCTCCCTCCTCCCTCCTCCCTCCTCCTCCTCTCCCTACCCCCCTTCCTCCCCCAAACCTTCCGTTGGATAAGAGTATCACTCGCGGGTCGACAGCATGCAGGCATTGTGACGTCCTGGCTGACGGCGGAGCTGGCGAATCTGTATCCCTCGGACGATTGCATCGCAAACGTTTGACTTTCTGCTTGCGGCGGATGTGAGTTTGTCTAAGACGTCAAGGCAGGTCAGATGTCCCTGCTTGATCGTCCATGGCGCCACGGATAGAGTGATTCCCTGCGATCAAGCGCGTCGGCTGCACGC